TCCTTAACTGCAGAGTCTTGCAGACTTTCCCACCTCAGATTTTGGAGGCGACGTGTCCGCTGACTTTCATTGTTGCTTTCTGAAAACTGGTTATTTTTATTTCTAATATGTCTCTGTACATGGGGGCTGTTCTGTTGTTGGTCTGGGTGCAGACTGGGTCCTGACAGCCTGCATCCCCTGAAACAAGGTTGAGGCTTTTTTCTTTTCTAAGTGAGTCCTGTATGACTACTCAGATTTACGCTTGTTGGGCAATGTTTACCCTGGCTTCTCTTTCCTGGATACTCTTATTACTCATTCCTGTTCAAATTCTAGCAAATAAATAAATGATTTTTTCTATGGCAACAAGAATCTTTCAGCTGAACAGCATAATATTTCCTGAAAAGCCTGCCTTATTCTTCCCAGTGTGGCTCTGATTGCTGGGCAGAGTATTAATATATAGATACATGGGTTTGGGTTGGACACTGGTTTTGTGACACAGTTCTGGGTGAAGCATTCAGCTGAGCGAAGGGTGACAAATCCCTGCAAACGTCCACAGCTGAAGGGTGCAAAATTCTTCCGTTCCACAACTGGCAGCTGCTGCTGAGGCAGAAATGGGGGAACCACTGCTGAGACACGACGAGCAGAGTTCTCTGGCTGGGCTGGAGGGTGCTTGGCTCTTGTGGGATACATTTTTCTTCTAAAGAAAATTACCCCTGTCGCCTTTTGTGTTTCCATAAAAGTCTATACGGTCTGGCAAGGGGCTGCTGGCTGTGCAAACCTCTTGTCTGTGCCGTTACTGGGCTCTCGATTTTTCTTTTTAAATGGTTCCTGGGGCTGAATCTGCCTGTGTTCCTTACACACAGTGCTCAGTTCTGCTCAGTAGCTGCTCCGAGGGTTCCTTAAGGCAGCTGTGTTGACCTGTGTGTTTTGCCTGAATAAGTTGCCCTCCTTCTGTGGGATCAAGCAGAGCTGCTTTGTGCTTCCCCTGAAACCGCCTCGTGCTTGGGGAGGCAAGCTCATGTGTGCAGTTTTGGGCCCCTCACTGCAAGACAGACACTGAGATGCTGCAGCGTGTCCAGAGAAGGGCAATGAAGCTGGTGAAGGTCTGGAGAACAGGTCTGGTGAGGGGTGGCTGAGGGAACGGGGGTTGTTTAGCCTGGAGGAGGCTGAGGGGAGACCTCATCGCTCTCTACAGCCACCTAAAAGGAAGCCGTGGTGAGGCAGATGTTGATCTCTTCTCCCAAGTAACTAATGACAGGACAAGAGGAAATGGCCTCAAGTTGCCCCGGGGGAGATCTAGATTGGATATGAGGAAAAATTTCTTTACTGAAAGAGTGGTCAGGCATTGGAACCGGCTGCCCAGG